TGCACCTCACACAGACATACTTGCAGGCAATATACCACATAAAAATAAATGAATCTTGGGCTGGAGAGATAGCTCAGAGATTAAGAGCACAGGCTGCTCTTCCAAAGGTCCTGAGTTCAATTCTCAGCAATCACATGGTGGCTCACAACCTCTGTAATGAGATCTGGTGTCCTCTTCTGATATACAGGCATACATGCAGGCAGAACACTGTGTATACAATGAATAAATAAATCTTAAAAAAATTTCCCGCCAGGTGGTGGTGGTGGCGCACGCCTTTAATCCCAGCACTCAGGAGGCAGAGGCAGGTGGATCTCTGTGAGTACGAGGTCCGGCTGAAAAAAAATTCCCAGACACAGGCAGACCTCTATGAGTTTGCGAGCCAGCCTGGTCTAAAGGAGAGTTCCAGGCCAGCCAGAGCCTGCCTAAAAACAAACAAATACATAAATAATTCTACCTGTGAATCTTAATGAAATTTTACATCGCTCATGCACTCAGCACTCAGCCTGTCCCACAGGTGCACCCCCTCCTCTCAGTCTTCAGCAGGAATGTGAAGCTGGTGTTGAGTGTTTGGGCTGGGACCAATGGGGGCTGTTTTGGAGGCTGACGGGGCTCTCAGGACTCCAGATTATAAGTCGAGGAAGAAGCACAGATGCAGAAAACGTCTGGAGTGGAGAGGGGGCAGAACGGGGCTGGAGGAGAAGACACCCCGCCTCCTAGCCGCCTTGGGGATGGGCAACTGTGGAGGAGAAATATCCTGTGCAGGGATCCACGGAGTCTAAGGTGCCCAGGGGCACGGCGCCCCTCCCTGGAGCTTCTCTCCTGGCTTTTGACTGCACCCTGGCATGCAGACAGTGCATTCGGGCAGAGAGGTGAAAACAAATCTGGATGTGGACACGAGGTTTTCAACACCCCATTCATGGAGGCCCAGGATAGCCCCCTGCAGAATAGTCACCTTTTGTCCTCCTCCTGCCCTGACTGGGGACAGCTGGGGCACGGGGGACTGGGAACCGTATGAAGGATGACAGCTGCAAGCCAATCTTTCCTGGTGGGCATACATAGTTTCCCGGACCTTCCCATGGCTCCCAGGCCACCTACTTCTAAGAAAGCCCTTCCTCCATGTCCAGCCAGTTGACCTCCCTTCCTGAGGGACGGATATCTTCCATGTCTTCCAAAGCCCCTGCCAGAAATCCTCAGCTGCCACTATGGTATTCCCTGCTTCTGCAGCCTAGGAGTCAGAGAGAAAACCCCTCTCCCCCATGATAGCCGATAAGGACTTTAAATCCCAGACAGCCTGACTCTTTCATCACAGATGCTGGGGAATCCAGCCTCTGCCCCACACCGTCAGTGAACAGCAGTGGAGAGACTTGCCTTGTCCCTGTCCTAAGTGGCCGCAGACGTTTTGTTTGTTTTTTAGAGCGGGTTTCAAACTCCTATGTAGCCAAAGGTGAGCTCGAACTCGTCCCTCTCCCGTTTCCCCCATGAAAGCTGGGATTACAGGCACCGGCAACACCACAGCTGCCGTCCAGGTTCTTTCAAGTACTCCTTTTCTTGTTTTATGGTGTGGGTGCTTTGCCTGCAGGGACACATGGGCACTGACTACGCACTTGGTATCTGGGGAAGCCAGAAGGGGGCATTGGCTCCCTTGGGACTGCTTTGAATCACTATGTGGGTGCTGGGAATCGAACCCTGGTCATCTGCAGGAGCAGCAAGTGGTCTTAACTACCCATCCAGGGTTCTTGAGTGCTCTTAGGTTTCCTCTCAGCCCTGGTGCTGGGAGAAGCTGCGAAGCCTCGTTGTTTTTATTTGCAAAATGGTCTGGTATCCTTTCCCTTATCCTTGTTGCCACACTAAATGGGCTAATGTCATCAAAGGAAGGGTTCCCCAGTGTCTGCCCGCCCAGTGTCTGCCCACACTAGCTATCGCCATGAGCGTCCCGACCTGCAGACCCTCCAAGATCTCATTCAATGCTTACACATGGCACAAGGTGTTGAGGAAGTATCTGTTGAATACTGAACGAAATTGTGGCTATGGATGCAGTCATAGAACAGAACAATCGGAAGGGTCTCAGGATGATGAATTGGTTCAGCAGGTAAAGGCGATTGCTGCCTAGTCTGATGACCTGAGTTCAACTCCCAGGACCAACATGTTGGGAGGAGAGAACACTCTTGCAAATTGCCCTGTGATGATTGTCCTGTGTGGTGTGTGTGTGTGTGTGTGTGTAAATAAATAATATAATATTAAGATATTTTTTAAGAAGGGGTTCTAGAAGTCTTAAAAATAAAAATAAACTGTTATTACACACAGAGAACACACACACACACACCAGCAACACTGAAGGATTCATAACACACACACACACACACCAGCAACACTGAAGGATTCATAACACACACACACACACACACACACACCAGCAACACTGAAGGATTCATAACATACACACCCCAGCAACACTGAAACACCGAAGGATTCATAGCTCACACACCAGCAACACTGAAGGATTCATACCTGTGGGGATGTTCTGGGCTCTCTCTGTCCCTTTGTCTCCAGATAATCCAAATTCCAATCACAGCCTCTGCCCTGGGAAGTTTAGGAGGGGGAAGAGCCCCCCAAATGCAGATCAACAAAGACCTTTCTTCTTGTCTTTCCGAAGCTAGAAGAAGAGAAGAGGCAATGTCTCTGGCCATGGAGCTGCTGATGGCCCCAGCCTGTCCCCACCTGACCTTTGGGGTCCAGAGAGGCAAAGGAAGGGTGGAGGCCGTCCGTAGAGTGGAGGTGGTCCCAGCGGTATGAGCTGTTCCAGAGGAAGGGCACCGAGGAAGAGGGGGAGCTATGAGGCCAGGTGGCCCCTCCTTCCCCTCCCAGCTCTTACCTCTAGGCTCAGGTTGCAGGAAAGCCTGAATGGGTCCCTACCCCTGTGCAGGACTGCTGAACATCAGATAGTGGTGATGGAGAGGCAGGCTGGGCTGCACTGTGAGCTCAAGGTTATCTTCAGCTACCTAGTGAGACCTCTCTCAATATAAAGCAAGAAACAAAGGGGCAGTCAGCGTTCAGGCCCAGCGGGTGAAGATGCTTGCCGCACATGCCTGGGAAGTCCAAGTCAGTCCCCATAAAAGCAGAAAAAGGCAGACCTGGTGGAGCACTCAAGAGACGGAGGCAGGAGGATCTCTGTGAGTTCTAGGACAGCCAGAGCTGCATAGTGAGATCCTGTTTTGAAAAACAAACCCTCCCTTCCTTCCCCTTCTTTCTTTAGTTTGTTTTTTGAGGCAGGGTTTCTTTGTGTAGCCCTGGCTGTCCTAGAACTCACTTCGTAGACCAGGCTGGCCTCCAACTCAGAGATTTGCCTGCCTCTGCCTCCTGAGTGCTGGGATTAAAGGTGTGTGCTACTGCTACTACCACCCAGTCAAATGCTTCTTTTTGCATGCAAATCTTTCATTACTTATAAGATGGAATCATTTTAGCAATGAACACCATTGACCTCCATTCTTAGGTGCTCTGGAATTGTTCTAGAATGCAACAAGCATGGCCCTAGATTTAGATCACAGCATCAAAGGAAAAAAGAATCAAAATTCATTTTTCACATCTCAAGGGGATGACTTACATAAGTGGTACCTTTTTTTTCCACCTTTATATTATTTGTCTATTTATTTATGGTAATGTTGGGGATGGAGCCCAAGGCATTGCACATGCTAAGCAAGTACTCTACCACTGAGCCACACCCCCAGCCCCTCACTGGGGTATTCTAGGCAGGTGCTCTACCACTGAGCCACACCCACAGCCCCTCACTGGGGGATTCTAGGCAGGTGCTCTACCACTGAGCCACACCCCAGCCCCTCACTGGAGGATTCTAGGCAGGTGCTCTACCACTGAGCCACACCCCAGCCCCTCACTGGGGGATTCTAGGCAGGTGCTCTACCACTGAGCCACACCCCCAGCCCCTCACTGGGGAATTCTAGGCAGGTGCTCTACCACTGAGCCACACCCCAGCCCCTCACTGGGGAATTCTAGGCAGGAGCTCCACCACTGACCGACAACCTTAGTTCCTGCCTTTAACGTTTTTTTGGGTAGAGCCGGGCCATGGTAGTGGATATGTTTTTCCCAGCACTTGGGAGGCAGAGGCAGGCGGATCTCTGTGGGTTCGAGATCACCCTAGTCTACAAGAGCTAGTTCCAGGACAGCCTCCAAAGCCACAGAGAAACCCTGTCTCGAAAAAGAAAAAAGTTGTCATACAGAAATGTTGAAGCCTGATAGAGTGGCAAAAACCTGGAGGCTGAGAAGGGAAACTTACTTTAGCCCAGAGTTCAAGGCCAGATGAAGTGACACGGCGAGACCATAGTTCTAAAAAAGTAAGCAGTAATCAGGTTAGCATGCTCATCTGTCTAAAGTAAAAGAAAAAAATTAAATAGAAAAATAGAGGCTGGCAAAATGGCTTGGCAGGTAAAGGCGCTTGCTGCCAAGCCTTCCAACATGAGCGGGATCCCGGAGACCCAGAAGATAGGAGAGAGCTGACCCTGAAAGTTGTCCTCTGACCCCCACGTGGCACATGGTATCCCCTCCCTCCACACAAATAAACACACCTTTTTCTGCTTGTCTTGTCATTCTTTTCCTTGGGGGTTCAGCTTCTAGGATTCCCCCACCCCCACCCTCAACCCCAACACACAGGGTTTTTCTGTGTAGTTTTGGAGGCTTAAAAGCATGCACCACCACCACCCAGCTTTAAATACATGTTTTTAAAAATAGTTAATAAAAAGCAGGGCCTTGGTGGCGCACGCCTTTAATCCCAGCACTCAGGAGGCAGAAGCAGGTGGATCTCTGTGAGTTCGAGGCCAGCCTGGTCTACAAAGCTACACAGAGAAACCCTGTCTCGAAAAAAAGTAAATAAAACTAGGTGTGGTGGCTCACACCTGTAATCTGGGCAACTAGGAAAGCTAAGGAGAAATGTTTTTAAGGCCAGCCTGGGCTACATAGCAAGACCTTGTTGGAAAAAAGCAAAAAAGTCAACATTTGTCTGGTACAGGAAATACCATGATGAAGAACATGGCTTTCTCTGGAAGAGCTCCCTCCATTGCGCTTCTGATGCCCTGACCTCTGAAAATCCTCCCGATTTGAGAAACTGCACTGCAGAATTGGTCATTGTGGGGGACTTTAAATTTTCCCCCCATTAAAAAGAAAATTAAGCCGGGTAATGGTGGTGCATGATTCTAATCCCAGCACTTGAGAGGCAGAAGCAGAAAGATCTCTAAGTTCAAGGCCAGCCTGGTCTACAGAGCGAGTTCCAGGACAGCCAGGGCTGTTACACAGAGAAACCCTGTCTTGAGATAACAAAAAAAACAAGTGAAAAACCAACAATAATAATAAATATATAAAATCGACGAATAAACTTAAATGGCTTTTGACCTGCAGGTGTTGGTCACAATGGAGCTCACCCCTAAGGACAAACTGTCAAATAGGTCACACACGCATGCGTTTTCTCTTGCTGCCTAATTAAGTCCTTTTAGTCTTCATTCAGCAAGAATCCCCCAGCTGTTTCTAAGAAAAGCCCTGCATCTTCCAATCAAAGCCTCTCTCCAGGCCCCACCCGTGACAGCTCTTGGTCCTCAAACCATGGGCTTCCTGTATGCCGCAGCACAGCGCAGAGCACTGGGGTTGGAAGAGGGAGAAAGTAAAAGTTCATGGGCCAGCAGACTTTAATGTGCACGCAAAGTCGAGCCTCGAGGACCAGGCCGTTCATCACGGCAACCTGGGAGCTTGAGGCTGCAAAGTTGAGGCCTGCCAGGCCACAGCGTGAGGCCAGTGCCAGCAGCTTACCAGGATTGCCTCAAATAAAAACGTGAAGAAGGCTGGGGTTAAAGCTTAGGGTAGAGCGCTTGCCTAGAATCCCCCGGAGAGGGCCTGGGAGTCAGACTCCGTGGTAGAGTATTTGCCTGGGGGAGGGGACCAAAACTGGTGTGGTGACAAAGGCATTTAATACCAGCACTCAGGAGGCAGCCTGGTCTACCGAGTGAGTTCCAGGACAGTCAAGGCTGTCACACAGTGAAATCCTGTCTCCGAAAACTAAACAACCCCTCCCCAAAAGAAAATAAAAACCTTGACAGGAATCACGTGGGGGTATCTTTAAACTACACACCAGATTCTAATTATTGGTCCAGATGAGGTTTGAGGCCACAGGTCTAATAATGTGTTGGTGATGGGCTCCACCCGAGACTAAGGGAAGTAGAGAGGATTCAGGTGGGAGGGTGGTCATCCAGGGATATAAGATGCCTGGGTACTTTCTGCCCCCTACTATGCAGCGGGCCTTATTCAGGCAGTACCATGGGGCTGAGCTACCAGCTCCTCCTGTGTCTCCTGCTGTGTGGAGGCGCCAAGCAGTGCTGTTCCCAGCCTCTGTGGCTCTTGCCAGGCGGAACTCCGACCCCAGGAAAGCTCACGTCATCCGTGGAGGTGGAGTGTCTGGAAGCTGAGCTCGTGGTGACTGTCAGTAGAGACCTTTTTGGCACCGGGAAGCTCATACAGCCCGAGGACCTCACCCTTGGCTCAGAAAACTGTCGGCCCCTGGTTTCCGTGGCTACGGATGTGGTCAGGTTCAAGGCCCAGTTGCATGAATGCAGCAACAGGGTGCAGGTGAGGCTGGGCGTCGCTTGCTTGGTGATGGAACTTTTGAGGGATAGGACTGTCTTTCACTGTAAATAGGGAGTGGTCTCTGATGCAGGACGGTGGAAAACCTTCTGGCGCTGCTGGAAGCTGGTGAATGGGGGGAGGGGGTCTGGAAGAAGCTGTGTTCTTGGGACCAGCCTACTCACCCGACTCCGGTTCTCCTGCAGATCTGTGGTCCCTCCCCGCAGAGAGAGAATGCAAGGGTGTTGGGACTAAGGGTTGGGAAGGAACATAGAGCAGCTCGCTGCACTTGCTAGAGATGTCACAAGTCCCTGACTAGGCATGTCAGGTTAACCCTACCCAAAATTCCAGCACTTGGCAAGTAGAGGCCAGAGAATTGGCAGTTTGAGGACAGCCTTGGCTACATGATAGATCCTGTTACAAAGAAACAAAACAAAACTCTGAACCAGGCATATACAGTCGTAGTCCCAGCTGGGAAGGCTGGAGTGGGAAGATATTGAGATCAAAGCTAGACAGAACAACACAGAGCACACCTCAAAAGTCAGAGTAAAAATAAGAATCTGGACCCAGTCACTAATACAGAAAATTGATAGCCAATGCTGGGGATTGATTCCCGCACACTCAACTCAGATGAGCCCCTGGAATTTGGGCTTTTTGGTTTTTTTGTTTGGTTTTTTTTTTTTTTTTTTTTGGTTTTTCGAGACAGGGTTTCTCTGTGGCTTTGGAGGCTGTCCTGGAACTCGCTTGGTAGTCCAGGCTGGTCTCGAACTCACAGAGATTCGCCTGCCTCTGCCTCCCGAGTGCTGGGATTAAAGGCGTGCGCCACCAATGCCCGGCCAGCTTTAAATTAAAAGGGCACCAGATCTCATTCTACGTGGTTGCTGGACACCACACTTGGGACCTCTGGAAGAGCAGCCTCTTAACCCCTGAGCCGTCTCTCCAGGTCTGACATTATGACCTAGCATAAGACAACTGGATTTGAGCCTCAGCACCAAAAGTGTTGTATGTCTGTAATCTAGCTCTTGGTTTAAGGACAGTCTGAGCTACACAAAAGCCTGTTTAAAAACTTTCAACTGGCTGGGTGTTGGTGGTGAACACTTCTAATCCTAGCACTGGGGAGGCAGAGGCAGGGGGATCTCTGTGAGTTCGAGGCCAGCCTGGTCTACAGAGCCAGTTCCAGGACAGGCTCCAAAGCAATACAGAGAAACCCTGTCTCAAAAAACAAAGCACAAAAGTTTCAAGTGGGCGGGGTGGCCCAAATGGGCGAGGCTGAGCCTGGAGACTTCAACTGTGGTGGGGTGGTGCAAATGGCCAAGGCTGAGCCTGGAGACAGGTGTAGGTAGCCCTTAGCTAAGCCAGGCGGGCGCCAGATCTGTTCCTCACCTGATCTCAGTCTCTTCCTCTCACACCTTCCGGCTAGCTGTATACAATTCTGCCTTCGTTGCGTGGGGTCCAGGAATGTTGGAAAGCATGTGCCATGAGGGGAAGTCCTCATTCATGCCAGGGTAATTTTCCAGTGGTGCAGCTGCTGTAGGGTCATCCATGTTTACTACGTAAGCCCTAAAACTCTCAGGTGCCCTAAAGCAGACTTTGGTGGAATGGAACTTTGGTTTGTAATTCAAGTATTGCCTCTTGAGAGGCTGAGGCAGGAGGATCAAAAGTTTGAGGCCAACCTGGGCTCGGCCTATCTCACAAAACTAATAACAGCTGTTCAACTTTTTTTTCTATATGGGTTTTTTTTTTTTGTGTAGCCCTGGCTGTCCTGAAACTCTCTGTAGACCAGGCTGGCCTCAAATTCAGAGTTCTGGCTGCCTGCCTGCCTGCCTGCCTCTGCCTGGCGGGGATTAAAGGTGATGTGTACAACCCCCGTCTGCTCAACTTTAAAAAAACTTTTTTGTGTGTGGTGGTTCGATTGTATGTATATGCACCATGGAGGGGTGGGTGCAGCCCCTGGAACTGGGGGTTATGCGACCCGCCATGTGAGTGCTGGGAATCGAACCTAAATGCTGTTACTGAGCTTTCTCCAGTCTAGCTAGCTGCTTTAGTGGCCAGCAGAGGGCAGGTTGAACTGAGACTTGACGGTTGGCCTTCCCCGGCTGGATTCCCTGGACCTTCCCACAGGCCAAGCAAGCCTCCCGAGGGTGTGCGGTTTGGATCCGGTTAACGGTACACCTTGCAGCGGAGCGGTGGTGGCACACATCTTAGCAAACCTTTCTTTCAGGTGACGGAAGATGCCCTGGTGTACAGCACCGTGCTGCTGCACCAACCCCGCCCTGTGCCCGGCCTGTCCATCCTGAGGACTAACCGTGCGGACGTGCCTATTGAGTGCCGCTACCCCAGGTCAGTGTGGGATGGGCTGCTGGGAGGCCCCGGGTGGGATGAGGCTGTCGGCAAGTGGGACTACCATTGTTGCTCTGACGGGGAAATGGCTCGCAGCTGTGATATTGTAAGCGGTAGCCTGCTGAGGAAAATCCGATGCCAGGTGTGCGCTAACGGACTGATTGCCTTTTTCCGGGAGGCGAGAGACCAAGTTGAGACGGGATCCCGTGAAGCGCAGGCTCGAACTCATCTCCTCCTACCTCCACCTCCTAAAGGCTGGGTTATAGAGTGTGCCAGCGACCTGGCTTTGTTTTGTGTCTTCACAAGATGACCTGGAATTCTGTAACTAGCTGGCCTTGAACTCCGTTGTTAGCCTCCCAAATGCTGGGGTGTAGGGTGGAGACGGCTTGCCTCCCCGGCCCCCTCACCCATGAGATCAATCTCCAGACTTGTGGGCTGTGACCTACATATGTATGCCCCCACAGTAGCCATGCGTATGCTGTAGCCCACCACAAAGTCATTCAGTATTTGAACCATTGGGAAGGAAACCTGCTATGGAGGCATGTGAACCTTAAATCTCAGTGCGCAAAAAGAGGCAGAGGCAGGAGGATCTCTGATTTGAAACTAGCCTGGTCTAAGAGTTCCAGGTCAGCCTGGGCTAGGGCTACATAGTGAGACCCTGTCTCAAAACAACAAATCACAGCAAAAACTGGGCATTGGTGGTGCACTGCTTTAATCCCAGCACTCGGGAGGTTAGAGGCTGGGCTGGTCTACAGAGTGAGTTCCAGGACAGCCTCCAAAACAATTCATAGAAACCCTGTCTTGAAAAAACCAAAAAAAGTTTTGGACGCTGTCGGATCAGCCCGGCCTCGATCTTCCTTCTTGGACCTCCTGAGTGCTGGGATTACAGGCATGTACTACCACACATATAGTCTACGGTATGCTGGGATGGAATTCAGGACCACATTATGCTAAGCCAATGCTTTTTCAACTATATCTCCAGCCCACCTTTATTTGAAATCAAGTCAGAATGGGACACTTTTTTTTTTCCTCGACTCAATTTACTAATGGAGCTCCTACCCTCAGACCCATCTCCTCCATGCTTTGGTTTATGGTCCCATGTTGGAGTGTCTGGCTGCTTTCAGATTGTAGGCGTTCAAAGGGGTTAACAGGCCCAACCTTTGGGGACCTTGGCCTGGCCAAACTAGTTGATCGTCCGAGAACTC